TGGCCGGTGGTCTTTTGACCAATGCGCATGCTACCCTGAACATTGCAATGATATATGTGGTTGTTTTGGCATTCAAGACCTTCCATCCTCTACGCTCCCAAAAGTCAGCTTCCTTTGCAGGCAAAGGTGCACGCTGCATTTTTTTGATGCGCCCCCACAAACAAGATTCCCATAGTCAGGACGGCCAGGGCCACATTCCTCCCATGCACTGTCACCACTTGTAGTTGCCAAGCGAACATCAACCACAAATTCGCTGCCGCCAGCGGAAAACAAAGGGAAGCACGGGCACGGGCGGATGGATGTGGATGATTTGTGGCGAAGGTGTAGGGTGAACTCATGAGGCCCCCATCTTGATGAACTTCAATCATGGGGCATAGCGACCTTGGCTTCAACATGTTTGAACAGGTATCACACAAAGTGGCCAGCTTCCAGCTGAAGTGCCCACCATTCTTGGCACTTGGACCAAAGTGTCCACTTAAATCTGAACGTCGCTATATCTTTTTTAGACCACTGTGGCAGTCCAGGTATATATATTATATATATATATATAAATAGTATGTATCCCTAGGGCTCCAAGTACCTTCTAAGAAGGTGTTTGGGGTGGGTTTAGAGGGTCCAAATCCAGATATATACACTATTATTTTACATCGTTTTTGTTTGGCTTGTCGGTGTATAACCCTCCTGTTCAATCAGACCCGGTCAGGCTGCTACGTTCGCCTGACTGATCAGACCCGAGCGAGTCGGGTTTCGATTTGTTCATCAAGGAAACGGTCACCCCCATAACCCCAGTGATGGATCAACATCTGATCAGACATCCATTCAGACACTGAATGTCATCAGGCTGGCCCATGTTTTTGGAAGGTGGAGTTTTTTTTTCAAAGTGGGTAGTAGGATGAATAGGACCCCAGCACTTGGTCGCAGGACCCGCCCCTCGTCTCCAATCACCCAGTGGGGGTGGCCAAGTCGACTCGACCTCCGTTGAGACCTCGGGTCGCTGGACCCAGCTGGGCGTGCGATCGCCCAAGACCCACGGTGACACCCCCATGAAGGGGGTCCACCGGGACCAAAAGACGAAGCAGTTGGGGTTCTCAACAGGTTGTGCTCAAGTAAAGCGGTCAAATCTGTTTAAATAGTGTTGGTCAACTAAGGTGGGGCAAACCGATCCACTGAATATATACAGTAGATCAAACACCAATTGCCACATTCCAGCTTACGGTATGGCCATCCACTTTGGGACCCGCGGATCACGATCTGGTGCATCTGAAAAAAGGGGGGAGGTTGATCATTGGAATGCAGAATGCAGATGCGAATCCATTTCGAGGCTGATGGTGTTTTTCACAGCCCGAAGGAGGCGTTTCGAGGGTCCCAACTGCGAGGCGCCCCTCGGGGCCCCCGTGGCCGGGCCACCTCGCAACGCGGCTCCTCGCCGGGCCCGTCGGGAAGCCCAGGGAAGGAGAGAAGGAGAATGTTCATGTCACTTTAAAGTAGACTTTTGGTGAATCAACACACTAATTTCTTAGATCCTAGTCAAGTTTGACTGGAAGAGTCTACTGTGACTTAGAGTTAGGTTCCTACCGTGTCAACCTAGTCAAGACTGGCCAATGTAAAGCTAGTTTGCTGCCGGTTAAGCCATTATAACTGTATTGCGTATTATAAACCACTATAATACTTGGAAAGATGGTGGCATCCCGAGGGGGCACAAGGTCATAGGCTGAGCTTTGGGAACAAGATGGAGGCCTTGGGGCAATTTAGACATCCTTTGTTATTGTTGTTCATTCGCTTGTCCTTGTGTTACACAATGTTGTACGCATCCGTGTTTCTTCTAGAATGTTCTAGATCTTTTTGCTCATTGTTTTATGTTTTCTGTGTTCTTGTCAGGGTCCTTCGTTCTTCTATCTTCCTCTCTGTTTTTTTGTTTTGCTGCGTCTTTGGTCCGTTTCGCTTCTGGTGCTTTGACCACCACGATCGGCTCAGAATCCCGACCGAGCCACTGTGAGTCGACCCAGTGGCGGCCCAGGCAGGTCCAGGCCAGCGGGATTTTGCCAGAATCTCTACCAGGGGGGCACGACTGGCACCACCAGAGCTGAACCAGATGGAAAGAATTCCAGATAGAATGCCATAATTTTCTGCGAGATCGGATATCAGAAAATATATGCCAGAGATGCCAGCATTTACGCCAGCTAGAATGCCCGCATAGATGCC